GGCCACCGTAGGGCGGTCCTCACGTCCCCTCTGACCGCGCCGGCACCGAGCGGCACCTCCTTTCTCCCTCCTCGGCCGCTCTGCACGTCCCGGAACTCGACGCTTCCCGAGGGTGGGTGGGCGTGCGTGCGTGCGCGCGCGTGCACGCCGCGAGCGGCCCTGGCGCTACCGCCCCTCGTACTCCTCCGGCGCCTCGGCCTATTCTGCGCAGGCGCAGATGGTGGGTTTGCTAGCGCCGCCCTCGGGCAGCTCTTCCGCGCACGCGCCGTCGCGCCCCAGGCAGTGGGCACTGCGCAGGCGCATCCCCGCGGGAAGGCTCCGAGAGTGTGGTTCTGTCGCTGGACTCTGGAGGAGCAGCTCTGCCGGCCGCTTGCGCCCGGGCTGGGGAGGCCCAGGGCTCCAGAGACGTGGGAGGGCGCGCCCCAGGGGGCCGGTCCCGGAGCCCCCGGGTCCGGGAGACGCCACCCACGGGCCGCAGACTGAGCATGCACACGTGGCGGGGAGGTGGTGGGCACGGCGGGTTTGCCAGGGCTGTGGGCAGCGGCCGAGGCGGGCAGACAGCCCCGGAGCAGGCGCAGGCCATAGCAGCAGCCCGAGGGTCCCGGGAAGCCCCCGGGAGGGAAGGCTGGGGCTGGGTACCAGTCTGTGGCCTTGCCAGGTGTCCAGCAGAAGTTTATTGGGGCGTGTTTGGAGCATGGCTGGTGGATAGAAGGCGGGACCAGGCAGCCCCATGGGGAGCTTGGAAAGTGGGGTGGCCATGAAGGGGAGGCCTACAGAGTGGTCCCGCCGGGGACAGGGGGCTGCGTCCTCCTGCCCGCCGAGCCCAGTCGTTGGGTGCAGACTGCCCTGGAAGCGGGCACGACTTTGGGAAGCCGGCTCTCGGGTCCTGGCCTTATGAACAGGCTGACGGGCAGGGCAGCCCACCCAGCGGCTGGGGAACCGGCCTCCACTACATAAGCGACAGGGACGAGGCCCTACCCGCGCCACAGCACCAGCCGCCTTTGCCCTGGCCTGAGCTGGAATCAAGGAAGTCCAGTTGTATTAGTCCGTTTCTGTTGTTCATAACAAAATACGCAGGACTCGGTAATTTATAAAGAAAGCGGAATTTACTGCCCACAGTTAACAGAGGCTCAGAAGTCCAAAGTCTAGGGAACACATCTGGTGAGGGTCTTGGTGGTGACTTCAGTGTCGCAGGACATCACATTGTGAAGTGGCAGAGCAGAGAGTAACCTCATACACTCTCTTAAAGCCCTCAGAACCACACCCAGACCACCAGTTTTAATCTTCCTGACTGCGAGGTCCTACAATCCAATCACCTTTTCAAGGCTCCACCTTCAGTTACCATAATAGGATTTCCCACCCTTGTAACAGTCACTGTGGGGGCTAAGTTTCTAATATGTAAAATTTGGGGGACACAATTCAAGCTTCAGTGAGTTTCAGGGGGACATAATTCAATCCGCTACACCACTGGTAGGTAGTACAGCTCCAGGAGCCCTTTTTGGTGACCAGTGGCAAATCTTCCAAAAGAAACGCAGGCGTCCTTCCTTCCCTGGTGTCCAGCGTGGGCTCGCGTGTCCACCTCTCAAGCTGTGAGGCAGGTCCACACGTTTGACCACTGATGTAATAAAAAGCATCGTGACGTTGGTGCTTCTCTTTTGTCTGTTTCAAGAGCCATTAGAGTAAAACCAAGTAAGGAGTTTCGCCCTCACATGCAGCAAGTGCTGAGGAGTCAGCACTTGGAGACAGGTCAAGGACGGCGTGTGACCCAGTGGCCACCTGTCACTCAGGGCTTCTGTGTAGTGATGAGGACAGTCACGTGTCTGGGGCAGCTCTACACTTGGTCCGTATGGCCCCCACTCTTCATTCTGGGTTTCTTGAGCTCTCCCTTCTTGGACATCCCACACCTGTCGACTCCAGCTCTAGTTTAGGCCTGCCCTGTGTCCTGCTGTGCTCAGCACTGGGAAAAGCACCACCTATGGGCGTTCACCAAGATTCCAGCATCCACCCCAAGGCTGCTCTGATCTGGGTACCAAGGACACAGGTAAATAGAACAGAGTCCCCACCCTTGAAGCACTCGCCACCTTGTGACAGGGACAGGCCTCAGGGCAAATGACAAGAGAAGGTGGTGGGTGCCCTGCCAGATGTATGGGCTTCACATGGGACAACATCCCAGACCAGCTAGCCAGAGAACACTTTCTTTGTAGATTAGCATCACCCCAAGCCAAAGTCAAAGAAGATTATTTGGTGAATATGGTCATATTAAAGGTTCTGATGACCAGGACCCTTAAGAAATAGATCAGCTAAGGGCCGAGCCTGTGGCGCACTCGGGAGAGTGCGGCACTGGGAGCGCAGTAGTGCTCCCGCCGCGGGTTCGGATCCTATATAGGGATGACCGGTGCGCTCACAGCACTCACTGGCTGAGCGCGGTGCGGCCGGTCTCAAAAAGGACAAAAAAAAAAAAAAGAAAGAAATAGATCAGCTAAGATGTCTGTCCCTGGCTGCTGTTTGCTTCCAGACCCTGAAATATTGTGCAGCCGGTGTGGATGCAGGTTCTGTGTGGCCTGGAGCTTATATAATTTGAGGGACCGTTCTTAAGAAAAGAATACAAAATTGCAAATACAAATTAGGTACAGGCCCTGCAAGGGGCCGCGGCAAGAAGGCCCTGAAGCTTACACTGCTCCAGGATCAGGTGAACCCGCTGCCCATACACCGAGTCAGAAGTGGATCCCAAAGTCCTGTGTGTGATGTCGGTCATCAGTGCATACGTGTTCGTAAA